AAACCTAAGTTACGCCCAAATTCATAACAGTTTTCAATTATATTGTCCTGAGAACCACTTAAAACACCAGCTGCTCTTGACAGCTTCGACATCAAAGATGCAGTCTTTAAATATGTCTTGTGTAAATAGTACTCAAATGCAGCGCTTACATTAGTATCATGATCGACTTCACCTGGTGATGTAACTGAATATTCATGTTCAACAGTTGGTACTTTACCGGTCGCTTTTGGAATGTCCTTAATATCACCGTCATTTGTTATTGAGTTGGGGTCTTCGCCACTCATAACAGTATTCTTCAATTGCATGAATTCACCTTCGACTAAGTTTGCTATAGTTGTGGATAATAATTCAATTACTTCAGGATTTCTCAATCTTGCAATAGCAACAGAAGCTCTTCCTAATAAGAAATCACCCGCTAAAACAGCCATTTTATTACTGAATGCAATGTTGCCGCTTGGTCTACCACGTCTAGTATCTGATAAGTCAATGACATCGTCATGTAACAAGGATGCTGTATGGATCATTTCCACAATTTCTGCAAGACGTCTTTGTTTCGGCAATATACCGTTTAACGCATCAAATTTGGGTAACTCGTCCATCGGCTTCGACAATGGATCCAAAATAACCTTAGGGTTGATTCCGTGCAATATCGTTAATGGAGAGATCGACTCGTCCACAGATTTTCCAGCAATAGAATTATTTAACGGAGTTCCTGCAAAATGAGGTTGTGTAGTAACATCGCTGCTATCTATTGTTATTCTATTTCTTTCTTCTATTGGAATATTCAGTAAAGCTTTGGATAAGAGTAACACAATTAATGGCCTCACATTTTTTCCATCCGCCTCGAAGTAGTATGAGGACACTCTATTTAACGTAGGATGACCCGAACCAATCAAGTTGGCAATCAGCTTAGCCAAATTGGACATTTCATGACTCACAATAGAAAATGGGTCGCTGAAAGTGCTATCATTCTTCGGTTGTACTAATTTTTCAGCAGTTTCAATAGCAGTCTGAAATGTATTTACTGCTTGTGGTTGCCCCGAAGAGTACAATCTTAACGATATTATAGACCTTGGGATTAAACACCTCTTCAATATTGGACTCATAATGTTCAATAGTATGGTCTACGAACAAAACAAATTCACACTAATATTGCCCAATACATAATCCAAACATTTTTTTGTGAGCTTTGCTCTTGTTGCAAGGTTAAATTCCCAACCACACGACTTTTCTATTATTACTATATTGATATATATTTATGGTTTACTTTACTGAATGGTTTATACTAAGTTACATAAATAGTTCACACAATGTTATAACCAACCTGATCATTGATAATCCTTTCTCTGTTGAGGATGTAAATATCTCAAGAAAACGTCGGGTGGAGTAAGGGTTCCTAAACATCTACAAGCATGAAGGTTCATAAATGTCAAACCGAAGACGTAACTTGCATTGACCCATCCGAAACCTTCTGTAGCAACACCTTTGAAGTCCAAACCTTGATTACCATATTCCGCATCAACTTTATGTGGAACTGCACCCTTAGTGACGTTATATTTCTCAACAACAACACCGTTATAGTCAACAAATGCTTGGGTCATAAGATATAGCCAACGATAGGCTAATCTACGAGCAACACCTTCGTAACCGTAATTACACAAGCCAATCCATGCAAGAATCTGTTGTGGAGCCCATCCATATGGATAGTCCCATTGTCTTGATGGTCTGTGTAAATTGATGCCACCACGAGATTTCAAGGTTCCGGCCGCAAGTCCGCCAAACTCTTCCAATTTCTGAGTAGAATTCTTAACTATCATATCAGCTTGTTCAGTAGAAGCTACTTGAGACCATAACGGCCAGAATGTGGTGGCAGACTCATAACCAGTTTGTTTTTTTGTTTTAATATTATAATCATAGAAGATCGAGTCTTTCTCGTTCCACAAGTATTTAGTAATTCTCTCCTTTCTCAAATTGGCCTTTTCTCTCCACTTCTCAGGAGTTTCAGTTTCGCCGGTATACTTATTTTTAAATTTTCCATCACAAAATGTCTCAATAACAAAGGCAATATCCACCTCGTATTTATACAATAAGGAATTTAAGTCAACAGTTGCTAAATGAGCACATTTACCTTCTAACCTGTAAGAGGTATCATGGCCCGATTCTCTTACAGCTCTGTCATGTAAGAAATACTCATCTAACTCTGGTTCCTTAATAGTTCCATTATTATACTCTTCAATAAATTCTTTCTGGGAGATACCATGCTTCTTGATGTAAGGTTCTAAAATTGCATTGAAATGGCTGGCCTCCGTCTCAGGGGGAATACCACTTCCTTCTGGATGATAACAAGACAAACCTGTCTCTTTATCTAATCTTGGTTCTGCAAACCAAACGTTATCATACTCTTTAATGGCTGCATCAATTGCTCTCTTCAAAAAGTCCATAGAATCTTCAAGTCTTTCTGGGGCCACTTCCATAGTTTTATTGAACACCCTCAAAGCCATGTCAGTTAAAAATGGAGGTTGAGACCTAGTTAAATAATAAGATCTGTTAGCATTCAATATTTTACCATAATGATGTATTTCATAAATGAAATTCTCTGTCATACCTCGGGCCAATTTCAAATTTTCCTGGTTAGTAGAAGTCACATCAACCAATAAACCAATGGTTTCCATATAAGAATCCCATCCATATAACTCGTTAAATCTACCACCTGGAACGACATATGGTTGATTAATAAGGTTCGTAGCATCATTCGGATCAGGAGCAGCACTAAGTGCCAACAAACCTGGCTTTTTATTAATGGATTTTACAAAGTCAGCATCAATATTTTCTGGTAAATATTGAACGTCAAGACCAATGTTTGGGTTTGCCTTCTTGATACTATTGAAATAATCAAACTGATCCTTTCTGTTATAAGGAATGTATATTCTATGACTCTCCTTATTATGTTGAATCTGGCCATTCTCATCTAAAACTTCTTCTTCAATTTTGGTATCTTTCGACATTTCCATAATATTGTCTCTAGTCAACAATCTTGTTAACGAGGACCAGAATTGGGTTGTAATAAGACGTTTCATACGATAAACTGGGTTTTCATTTAATCTGGTCTCGTCCAAAATCATTTGGTTTCTACCAAATCTTTTAGCAATTGTGAGTTCTTGTAATAAATTAGACAACATGTATGTACCCCTGATAGGCGCCTGACGATAACCATTTGAATTGGCGGTACCTAACTTGATAACTTTGGGTCCATTATCTTCGATGGTAATTTGATAGTTATGGTCCGTATCTTCATTCTTCAAGAGTTCCTTAAGGGTAACCTCAATGTCGTTGATATAAAACTTTCTAGGTTTGACAAATGAATCGTCCATTGAGGCTCTCCTATAGTGCAAACGTCTAGGATCAGGTTTGGTAGATGCATTGAAGTCATCTACCGAATCCAGCGATATATCTTCATAAATTGGCACTATAGACCCTCTTCTTTCCCCCTTTTTCGGATTATGTGTCGTAGGGATCTCATCCACTTTCTTTCCTATCTCTGGAGCAAGTCCAGATGCCGTTTTAAAATCCCATTTGCATTCAACCTCTGGCGTTGGCGATTCAGAAAATGGGCTCGTCTCTTTGTCCGGTTGCTCAGAAATATCCGAGTTGGTATACCCCGGGTCGTAATCATCAAAAAAATTTGACCTTTTTGGTTCAAATACAGAAAATGTTCTAACCTTCCCCAATCTCGAGTTCTTGCCAGCAGCTACCGGATTGGTCTTAGGACCGTAATAATTCTCTGGTGTATCATAAGGATTGTCATCTTCACTTGAAGACGACACTGTTCTCGAATGGAATGGATTGCTCATTGTCAAAAGTAAATGATGAGTATCGACTTCAAGTTTTACTGGATAATATTGTTCCTTATCAATACTTCTACGATTACTTAAAGAGAATAGAAGCTCATTTATGGTCCTGCACATAAGTTTGATCATCACCGACCCTAATGACGACCTAATCCAAAGAAGAAGCTGTCGTTTTGTTTATTCGGGGATTGAGAACTCCGGTACATTTGTCGCTATATCTTTGGTGATCCCTCCAATTATAATTGATCTAAGTTCAAATTACAATTTGTTTACTCCTCTTTCTCGTTAAGATCTATTACTACGAACTTTTTTCCGCCCTGACTAGGAAATAATAATTTATGTGCCGCTAATTTTCCGACTAAGATCTTTCACAACATCTCGTCGCCTTGTAGTCATCTAGCTTCAAAGGGCAACCTCTAACTTGTTCAGGAGGACCAAATACAGGCAAACGTTAACCTCGAATGTCGTCGAATGTAGAATGTCGCACTTCGCAAATAATAAATACAAGCATGTCGTTTTTGTATTACGTCATACGTCTCGGAACCATATCGCGACATACATTTTGACACGACACCAATGTCGTACATCACATGTCATGAGCAATATCTTACCTCGGCTGGGCTAGTTAACGTGGTCTGTACTACCCCGGTTGTTTTCGTAACAAAACCCTTACCCGGCTGTTTTGTTGGGAGGATTTTCCCCTTACCCGGAGGGTATAGGAGTTAAGCTGGGCGGTTGAATGCTACCCCATAAAACATAATCCCATATGTGTCCATATATAAATAACCCTTATTCGCAGCAGAATTTTCAATTGATCCTGTAGAAATAGAATTATATAAATACGATTGCTAATAAAGTATCTTATTATATTCAATTGATAGTTCTAAAATAGATAAATAAAAAACAAAATGGTTAAAGTTACAGTTTGCGGTGCTGCCGGTGGTATTGGTCAACCATTATCCTTATTATTAAAGTTAAACCCAAAGATCGATGAATTGTCATTGTTCGATGTTGTTAATGTTCCAGGTGTCGGGGCTGATTTATCGCACATTTGCTCAAACTCATCCACTTCTTCTCACTTGCCATCTTCTAGGGAAGACAAGACAGCATTGGCTGAATCCTTGAAGGGTAGTGACTTGGTTATCATCCCAGCTGGTGTTCCAAGAAAACCAGGTATGACCAGAGACGATTTATTCAACATCAATGCTTCTATTGTGAGAGACTTGGCTCAAGGTATTGCTGAGAACGCACCAAAGGCCTTCGTTTTGATTATTTCAAACCCAGTCAACTCCACTGTTCCAATTGTCGCTGAAACATTAAAGAAGAATGGTGTTTTCAACCCACAAAGATTATTCGGTGTCACCACCTTAGATATTGTTAGAGCCAACACTTTCATCTCCCAAAAGTACCCTAAGGAAACCAAGGCTACTGATTTCAACATCAACGTCATTGGTGGTCACTCCGGGGAAACCATTGTTCCATTGTACTCCGTCGGTAACTCCAAGTCGTACTACGACAAGTTATCTGAAGAAGACAAGAAAGCTTTAATCCACAGAGTCCAGTTCGGTGGTGATGAAGTCGTCAAGGCTAAGGACGGTGCTGGTTCCGCCACTTTATCCATGGCTTATGCTGGTTACAAGTTAGCCGAATCTATCTTAAAGGCTTTAACCTCCAAGGGTGAAGAAGTCGTCGAATGTACCTTCTTAAACTTGGATGACTCTATCAAGGGTGCCGCTGAAGCCAAGAAATTAGTCAAGGACTTAGATTTCTTCTCCTTACCAGTCAGATTAGGTCCAAACGGTATCGAAGAAGTCAAGTACGACATCTTGAACAACATTAGTGCAGATGAAAAGAAATTATTAGAAGTTGCCATTGATCAATTATCTGGTAACATCAGCAAGGGTGTTGCATTCATCAAGAAATAGATTCCTATCTCTATACATTATATATGCACACAATATTTATTTCGAACCAATTTTTCAACTTGATTGTACTTTTTCCAGTGTAGATTATTGATAGCTGTCACATGCAAGTGTCTAAGATTTGTGTTCTGCCAATTTTATCAGTACCGATAACTTTGATTCACTCTACTTTCTTTATCCAGAAATGAGGATATCCTACCATGTGTATACATGACATGAGTATAATCAACTAACTCTGTGAAATATCAATTAAAAGTCTACATGACGTTTCGTCTGACTCCGATACTAATAGCATAAAACATTCAAAAAAATCCTTATTTTGATACCCACATATAGTTATCTTCTCTGATCTTCTCTGAGAACTTCTCTATCTAAAAATATGACATAGCGAAGGAATAAGCACAACAGTGGAACATTCTCCTAGTATGTTGATTTGCAGCTATTAAGAGTATAGGCACTGAACTATCTAGCTTTTCCGGGTTTGTGTCATTTCCGTTAATTACACAAAATTGCCTTCTTGTTTGAATTTTTACCCAACGCAAAACAAACATAAAGGATTCCTTATTAAGCAAATAGAGGTTGTCATAAAACTTGTGTTGATTGAAATTGGTAAGTAAGTGTCAATTGAATATAAGCATTTCAACTGGTTTAATCGATTGCAAATTCTTCAATAGAAAATTTTTTTACTTCAGCTACTAACATTTCTTAAGTAAGCGATTTAAATTTTTTTTGGTAGTTGGATCTAGCTTTCTCTTTTCAAAACGAAGGAAAGTAACATATACAATAAATTCAAGGTAATATTGAAAATTATAGATAGCACAACACTTTAGGGATACTCGGATAATATGGAAACAATTCTTGACTTTTCGAAGGATCTTGATATCAATTTATTCGACCAGGTAGTTGGGACCTTCTACAAGGGCTCAGGAGCGGAGCAAAAGGAAGCCCAGAGGGTCTTAAGTCAATTTCAAGAAAACCCAGAATCTTGGACAAAAGCCGATAAAATTTTATCTAATTCAAGCAATGCTCAGTCGAAGTATATTGCTTTGTCATGTTTAAATAAATTGATTCAATATCGCTGGAAGACCATTCCGGAAGATGAAAGAATCGGAATCAGAAATTTTATCGTTAATATGATCATCTCTCTCTGTGATAACGAAACGATATTTGAAACCGAGAGAGCATTGATTAACAAAATCGATTTGACGTTAGTTCAAATTTTAAAACAAGAATGGCCACATAACTGGCCACAGTTTATACCAGAAATTGTATTGAGTTCAAGATCCAGTTTTAATGTTTGTGAAAATAACATGATTATTTTGAAATTATTGAGTGAAGAGGTTTTTGATTTCAGTCAGGATCAATTAACACAGGCAAAAGCAAAATCATTAAGGTTAAGTATGAGAGCAGAGTTTGAGGAAATCTTCAAATTATGTTACGAAGTATTAGATAAGACTACCAAGTCATCCTTGATCATTTCCACTTTGAATGCATTATTGAAATACATTCCATGGATTCCAGTTAACTATATTTTTCAAACAGATTTATTAAAATTATTAACCGGAAAGTTTTTGAATCCTGTCGATACCAGAACTATCACATTGAAATGTCTTACTGAGGTATCTAATTTGAACTCCCCAGATTTAGAAGAAAAGTTTATAATTTTCTTTAAGGACACTATGGAGCAAATTTATTCTATCATTCCTCCAGAAACCAATTTGAAGCAATCTTACAAAATTGCTAGTTCAAATGACCAATCCTTCTTGCAAGATTTGGCAATGTTTATATGCACATTTTTGAACAACCATTTATTGCCTTTAGAGCAAAATGAATCATTGAGAGAATTATTGTTGACATCATTGCATTATCTTGTTGAGTTATCTAGAATTGAAGAAAGAGAATTATTCAAGACTTGTTTGGATTTCTGGTGCAATTTCGTTCATGGATTATTTGAAGAGATTCAAAAATTACCTCAAAACGAATTATCTCCGTTAATGCAATTAAGCTACTCCAGTTCGTTGAAAGCTACTTCTGGTGGAGCCCCGGATCCTGCTGTATTGGCAAAATTCCCATTAAGAGAGCATATGTATACATCAATTTTATCTAAATTAAGACTAGTTATGATTGAGTCTATGGTTAGACCAGAAGAAGTTTTAATTGTTGAGAATGACGAAGGTGAAATTGTTAGGGAATTTGTGAAAGAAAGTGATACCATTCAATTATATAAGTCTATGAGAGAAGTTTTGGTTTATTTAACTCATTTGGATGTTGTTGATACTGAACAAATTATGAGCGAAAAATTAGCCAGACAAATTGACGAATCTGAATGGTCGTGGCAAAACATCAACACTTTATGTTGGGCCATTGGTTCGATTTCAGGAACCATGAATGAGGATATGGAAAAACGTTTCTTGGTATCTGTCATTAAGGATTTATTATCTTTGACTGAAATGAAAAGGGGCAAAGACAATAAAGCTGTGGTCGCGTCAAATATTATGTATATTGTCGGGCAATATCCTAGATTCTTGAAAGCTCATTGGAAGTTCTTGAAGACAGTGGTTAATAAATTGTTCGAATTTATGCATGAAACGCACGAAGGTGTTCAAGATATGGCTTGTGATACATTTATTAAAATTACACACAAATGTAAGAAGCATTTTGTTGCCGTTCAACAACAAGAAAGAGAACCATTCATTAATGAGATAATTAGAAACATTCAACAAATCACTGAAGATTTGCAACCACAACAAGTTCATACATTTTATGAAGCATGTGGTATAATAGTAAGTGCGCAGACATCAAAAGATGCAAGAGACAAATTATTAGGCGAGTTAATGGCTTTACCAAATATGGCATGGAGTGCAATTGTTCAACAAGCTGGAAAGGATCCGGAATTATTGACTAATACAGAAACCGTTAAAATTATTGCAAACATTATTAAAACTAATGTATCCGTTTGTAAAGCTTTAGGACCTGGTTTCTATTCACAATTGGGATTAATGTATGTCGATATGTTATCATTGTACAAAGCTGTCAGTACGATGATCTCTGATTTTGTTGCAAAGGACGGCTTAATAGCAACTAAAACTCCAAAGGTTAGAGGGTTGAGAACTATTAAGAAAGAAATTTTGAAAATGATCGAAACTTACATTAATCAAGCTGACAATCTCGAAGAAATAGTAAGAGATTTAGCACAACCATTATTTGGGGCTGTTTTAGAGGACTATAGCTCGAATGTTCCGGATGCTCGTGATGCCGAAGTTTTAAACTGTATGACTGCATTAATCTCGAAGGTCGGCCATATGATTCCAGAAGGTGTTGTATTAATCTTACAAAAAGTTTTTGAATGTACGTTAGATATGATCAAGAATGATTTTGTGGAATACCCCGAACATAGAGTTGAATTTTATAAGTTATTAAAGGAAATTAATTCAAAATCATTCCAAGCATTGCTACAATTATCGGGTGATGCGTTCCAATCATTAATTAATGCTGCTTTGTGGGCTTTTAAGCATAACAACAGAGAAGTCGAAGATAACGGTTTATCATTAACCTTGGAGTTAATCGAAAACGTTGAAAAATTAGGTGATACGCCATTTACTAAAGCATTCTACGAAAACTTCTACTTCCAAATCTTATCTGATACCTTTTACGTTTTCACTCAACCAGATCATAAGTCTGGATTCAGATACCAATCCCAATTATTAGCACAGTTAATTCATTTAGTCGAGGACAACGTCATCAAGGCTCCATTATACACACACGAGCAAGCTCCAGAAGGAACGTCAAATTCCGACTTTTTGAAGCAATACTTAGCACAGTTGTTGATATCTGCTTTCGACAACTTACAAAAAGAACAATTAGTCAATTTCTTGAATGTTTTAACTTCAGTATACAAAGACTTGAACAAGTTTAAAGCTACATTGAGAGATTTCTTGATTCAAATCAAGGAATTTGGTGGCGACCCAACTGATTACTTATTTGCTGAAGATAAAGAGATTGAAAAACAGGAACAAAATAGATTACAAAGAGAAAAAGACTTGCAGGTGGGTGGTTTGATCAAACCATCAGAAATGGACGACGAATAATTGAAGTCTGTTTAGTTCCTCTTTAATATTTCAATTGTACTTTGCGTGTTATTGCTGTTTGCTGTTTTGCGGCTACAGTTGTCCATAGAGTTTATATTTGTTATAATCGTTTAAAAAAAATAGCCTTATCATTGTGAATGAGAATTTCTGCAGTTCTTACCCAAGTCGGTAGTCGACGATTGTCATCGAATTATTTTTTGTTTTGTGTAACGTTGTAGTTTGTGGTGGATAATCGAGTTAAAAACTGAATCGACATCAGATCCAAACTTAATAGATAACAAACAATTCAAATCGTAATAAAAAGAGATGTCATCTGAATCAACTGCCCCAAAGACAGAAGAAACCACTTCTACTCCACAACCTCCAACTTCTAACGTTTTCTCTATGTTTGGAGCCAAAAAGGAAGCCAAGAAAGAAGAATCAGATGAAACCAAAAAGGAAGATAAAAAAGAATCTAAGGAAGAAGAAAAGGACGATGATAAGGCCGATGAAGAAGAAGTTGATGTTCACTTCGAACCATTGGTGCAATTAGAAAAAGTCGATGTTAAGACCAACGAAGAAAATGAAGATGTTTTATATAAGGTTCGTGCCAAGTTGTTCAGATTCCACGCTGACACCAAGGAATGGAAAGAAAGAGGAACCGGAGATGTTAAGTTCTTGAAGCATAAGCAAACTGGTAAGACCCGTATTTTGATGAGAAGAGACAAAACTTTGAAGATTTGTGCCAACCACTTAATTTCTCCAGAATACGAATTAAAGGCCAATATTGGTTCTGACAGATCGTGGGTTTACACCGTCACCGCTGATATTTCAGAAGGTGAACCTGAAGCACAAACCTTGGCTATTAGATTTGGAAACAAGGAAAATGCTGATAAGTTTAAAGAACAATTTGACAAGGCCAAGGAATCTAAATAATTCTAATGGCAGTTGTTTGTATTCATTTTATTCATTATATAAATCACCTATGTATAGATATAAAGATATATCTACTGCTTGTGTAATAAATAATCAAGTATTAATAGGTTCTTATCGTAGTACATAATTTTTCAGTAATGATGTAGGACGTGTATCTCCACGTGGGAGAAACAATAAACGATTCAGTTGATGATGAAAATATATGAGCATATACTTAAATACTCCGGCATATCTACAGTTCGAATAAATATAAGTTCCTTAGGATTCCAAAATGAAGTTTGGGAAGTACCTTGCTTCAAGGCAATTAGAGCTTCCAGAGTATTCTGGACACTTTATAGACTATAAGGGTTTGAAGAAGCTTATCAAGAAGTTAGCGGTACCTGCAAATCAAAATAACTCTACCAATGGATTAGTATCAGCGACATCGCAAGAAGCTCAACAAGCACTAAAAGAGAATAAGGCATCCTTTTTCTTTAGGGTGGAAAGAGAATTAGACAAGGTTAATTCGTTCTATTTGGAGAAGCAAGCTAACTTGGCCATCACTTTGGATTTGTTGGTGATGAAGAAAAACGAGTTACTTTCCAAGTCTAACGAATATGTGCAGATAGGAAATAGCAACACATCTGGTGGGTCTTCATCGGGCTCTTCAAATGCTAACTTTAGAAATTCAATTTCGTATTTGAATTTATACCAAAATTTCAAGAAAATACATCAAGACCTTATAAGGTTGCAACAATTTATAGAATTAAACGAAACTGGATTTCTGAAAGTTGTGAAAAAATGGGATAAAAGATCAAAGTCACATACAAAAGAATTGTTTATTCTGACAGCAGTTAGCGTGCAACCAGTTTTCCATAAAAACGAAATTAACGAATTAAGTGATTTAGTAACACAATCCTTATTTGATTTAGAATCTATTTTAGATGGGGATTATACTTCAATCAATAATTTTGTAAATAAAGGACAATCAAATGATATAAATACTCAACAAATAATCCAAAACTTATCAAGAACAAACTCAAATACGAATGTGGCTCAATTACCCAACGATACAACTAATATTGAAAGAAACGGATCCATTGGATCAATTAATTTTCAGTCGTTAAGAAATAATTCTATTATTAATTTGCAGAACAACGAAGTAGATGAACTATACACTAGTTTTGTTAATGTTGCAACAATTAAAGATCCTGACTTATCCTTATTGTCACGTTGGATAGAAAAAGTTAGATCTTCGTCCAAGAGTCTGTCTTCATCAAATCTAGATCAAATTGTCAAATACAAGTTATCCAAAATATTTTTACTAGCTATAACAAATTTAAAGATATCAGATTCATTCTTAGAAGCATTTTTGAATTTAATTAATTATGAACTTGATTTCGCTTTTATAAGTGATGACTTCAATAATAATAAGAATATCATTCATGAGTGTTGTTCTATTCCTCCTGCGTCTACATATGAAAGCCATCATCATGTTGTAATAAACAATGGAGTAAAGGTCATAAATTCAACTGATAGTATAAATCATTCCAGAACTTCAATAGTAGACTATATTATGAATAATTTACCTAAAAGTACTCGTGAACAATTGCTTGTCTGCAAAGACTTCAATGGTAGAAATTGTCTTCACTATGCTGCGCAAAATAGCAGAATTGATTTGATCAACTCTATTTCACTGTTTTTTCCAAAAAATCATATTGATGATTTAGATAATGAGTCAATGTCAGCTTTGTTGTTAGCTATTAAACATGGAAACTTTGATGTCATTCAAAAGTTAGTTCAGATTGGTAGTAATTGTTATCCCAAGTCTGACGACAGTAAATTGCAATATCTTCCTATTAACTACGCATGTAAGTTTGGTGATTATAGAATATTGGAGTATTTGTTATCTAAAAGTCAGCCTAATAATAAGTTGATTAATCAGCAAGATGTTGAGGGCTTATTACCATTACATGTTATTTCAAGATCAGGTCATCACAAATTGATTAAGCTATTAATTCATTATGGTGCTGAAGTGAATCAATTTGATGGTTTGAATAAATGGACACCGCTTTTTTATGCCGCACTGGAGGGCCATGTTAAAACAACCCAAGAATTAGTGAAATCTGGTGCCAGGTTAGATCTTCTTGACGAAGATGGTTATAATGTTTTATACTACTGTGTAATTGAGGGTCATATCAGTGTTTTGAACGAGCTTTTAAGTTATTATAACGATATTTGTGGTAAACTTGCAAATACTAAAAGTGCCAGTGCCCTTAATTCAGAAATGTATTCAGAGAACAGTCGAAAAGGAAGACCAGATTATGGGACGGCGCCCGCTAATAGCTCTACGATTGATATGGCGATGTCAGATGAAGAGGATTCGGAAGATAGCGGAAATACTGATAAAAATAACATTGATTCTATTCCAGATCTTCAATTACCACCACCTATTTTACCATTAAGAAGGTATGGTCATAACTTTTTAGAACAGAAGGTTTTAATCGAATTGATATTTCCAAATGACTCGGACTTTATTAACTTATTCAATTCCGCAGCCGACATGAAACCAGGAAGAATAACACTTACGTCTAATATATCAGATATTGTTCCTCGGAATATTTTGTTGCCAGTTGCAGACGATACAAAAGCTAATAATAACTGTATATTCCAGGCTGACGTTGAATCATTACACGAATTCAAGATTGACTTCGAAATATTCCCTAAATTTGGTACCAGACTCATAGCAAAGACTACAGCCATAACGTTTTCAAAGATCGATACTTCTTCGCCAGAAGTGAACTCCATTCAATTGCCATTATTTGATTTAAGGTTAAGGAATGTGGGACAGTTGAAATTCAATTATCAAGTTATTTACCCATTCTCTGGAAATTTACTTGAAACTTCGAAGTTTGATACGTACTGGAAATCATCCACAAGTTATGTGAAAACAAGAACTAATTTGAAGCTTAACGCAGCTGGTGGTTTATCGCCTAATAACTTTTTATCACCATCAAATATTAATGCCAAAGATAGTAACAACAACGGAAACCATAACAACAATAGTAACAACAATCCACTAACTTCAGCTATTGATTCTAGTGCCAACACTATTCCTTCTTCTTTTGTGACTGCAACATCCTTATCAGGGGAGTACCTAAGAATTAGAATATGTTTATTAAACGACGGTACGCCAGTTGTCTGTCCACAGTGGTCAATAGCAGTTACAGAATTTATTGATTTGTACTTACCAAATATGTCATTGGAGCAGTTGAGTTCAATCACAGATAGCCTTTTTGATTACAGAAAGGTTATAAGTGATTTATCCAAAATGACAAGTAAGGACATTTCATTAATCAAGAAATTATTGAAAATCATTTATTTTCCGTTGAATATGTTCTTGGATATTTTGAATGTTGACATTAATTTGAACTTGGAATTGATATTTCCGTCATCATATGAGTTAGAAAACTTACCTTTTGTTGGCAATATCCAACAGAATTTGAACAATTTTATTGACTTCACCTTGAATGATGTATTCAATCATATAAGATCACAGAAGATTAAAAACGCTTCTGGCAATGGAAGATCAATTATTTTCTTATCTTCGAATTCGTTGATTTGTAAAATTATTAATTGGAAACAACCTAATTATCCTGTATTCTTGAGTATGAATGGAATTTCTTATAATAGCAAAAAAGGGAAATTCGAGCCTAGGTCTGCAAATGGTCTTTTGATGAATGAAGATCCATCAAATGAAGATGAAGATAGTGAATCTAAATCTTCGAAGGACAGAAATATGAATTGCGGCCAAGAAATAACTATTAGATCAATAAAAGAAGCAGTTAATTTTACCATTAATAATAACTTGATAGGACTAATTGCTTCAATTCATCTATTGAATTTTGTTCCTAAATTAATCCCATTAATTAGATCGCGAGGTTTAATTTTAGTGGCCGCAAGTGATCTAGCCGATAATGAAGATGAAGATGTTGTCAACAAAGAGTTAGATTCATATACAAGGACTGAAATTAATGGGTTGAGGTTTGATGATATATTAAGCTTTAAGGATGATATAACTATGTAATATTTATGATTAAGAAAGGAAGTACGTAAAATTAAAAGGTAGGATATATAATAATACACATGTGCATACATTTTTTAAATACCAGTAATTAAAGTAAATTAATGAAAGCTACTTACAATACGTAAAATGCATTTCGTGGAATTTGGTAGACTATAAAGGTCCGATATAAATTTATAAATGTTAATTCTACCAAAAAATTAATAGGAGTATTAATACAAGGTTGTAATGCAGCCAAAATTGATATAACAATTAATCACAATTATTTTATTGTTCACATAAATGTAACAAACGCCTGCGTCTTGGGGGCGGTGGTGGGGGTGGTGTATGTGATTGAGATTTCTTTTCTAAATTTATGTGATTAGGCTTAGGCAGGAAGGACTTCGGAGGAAGAGGCGGTGGTGGAGCCTTCTTTTTTGATGCCTTTTGAGCTAGACTAGAATCTGATTTAATTGATGACGATGTAGATTCTGGTCTTTTCAATGAAGGAGTTGGTTCATCTTTTAAATACTCTTTCGGCAAATCTAGCAAATTCGATTCATCTGATATTGGAACCCAAGGTGAATTACCAAAATCTTCTGTCGTACTAATTGAAAGCGATTTAAATTCACTATCTAAGAAAACGTTATGGTTATTTTCAACATAAGAGCTCTTCAGTCCATTGGAGCCCACTTGGTCATTTTCGTTATGTACTAGTGTATATTTATGATAATCGCTCCTTCCTGAAGTTCTAACTGATGCAATTCGCGTGAAGGCTTTACCAATCGATTCATTTGAGACATCCGAATTCTCATACAACTCAGACCGCTTACCAACAAAACTCAGTTTTGAATTCAATGAAGATGAAGAGGAGGCTGCAGATAACTTTCCATACACGTTATTTGATATATTTGGGTTATCCTGGTTTCTTTTCTTGCTTAATTTTGACTTCCTTAGCCAAGGTATAGACATGCATCGTAATGAGAGCTTTGCAATAGTATCTGCTTGGCTCTCTTCAATTGCTTCTGAAATTTCAGTTGCTGCACGATTACCTGACTCAGAATTGAGGACTAAGTTTCTCAAGATTTCTAATATATCTTCATTCTTGTAACCGCCAGGTAATTCACTTAACTGGGAAAACATCAATAGTGGGTATAATACTTTTAAATAGGTGACAATCAATATTCCGTTATGGTTTCCACTATAGTCTAAGTCATTTAATTCACGAATAATTATGTCCAATAAAATCTTTAGATCATTCAAGTAAAACAATTTTGCAGTGTAGGAAGTTGTAAATACAAGGTATAAGAATTTTAATATAAGTATTTTAATAATTTGAGATTCTTCTCGATTAATATAATAAATTAATAAATTGATGAAACCATCAATATGCTTATTACTTGATTGATGAACATCTCCCATCATTAAACCATCAAATACTTTATTTTTCGATTCTTTAGATGAATATGATTTCATCAAATACTGTTCATTGATAAGTAGCAATAGCTTAAGCTCTTCGTATACAAAAAGTTTATTTTCACCTTCCCAGTCATCAGCATCGGTATCGTAGTTGTCAAAATCATCGTTTGCTAACAAATGCTTAATAATAGTAGGAATTAAATTTGTCTCACTAGTCAAACTGTTAAATTCTTCATCAGATAATAGTTCACAATTGTATAAGTATTCAAATATAATATCGCCTCCAAACTTCAATAATAAGAAGGGAGACTTAGATTTATTTGTTGTCACAATATGATTTGTTATAACATTTGCGACTATACGTATAATTCCAAGTTCAGATAAGATACTATACAACTCATTTCGGTCAATTAGATCCAATATTTTGGATCTTTCGCCATTTTCTCCTGGGCTATTAGTCAATTTCAAAAGTAGAAGTAAAATAATGCAAATAAACTCTCGCAATGACTCAATTTCAAACCTCACATCTTCATTAACATCATCATTAAGTGTGCATGAAGTATCCCGACTTAAAGCTGCCAACAACCCCAATATTTTGCCGAGACATAACTCATAGTTCTTGATAAATAGATTCAGGGTCAACAACTTAAGTGCATAAGAGGATAACTTTTGATAATTATGGGTACTTTCCTCATTTCGATCATATATATTTTCCACTATTAACTTCATGAAAAGACTCAAGTTATTATTACATTCGGAGGGGTCACTAATGATTAGAATTGGTTGCAATTGTTCTTGTAAATGGTCCTTAGCCAACAAATTTTCACCGGGAAAAGTAGTTGCAGGAATGTCAGTCTCATCATCAGTTTTATTATAGCAATTATGAGGATAATTAGCGAAAGAATCGTACATGAATCCAGTACCAAATGTTTATTGATGCAATGTAGATTTAATTAACATGTATGTTGATAAGCAATTAAATAAAATTATGTCGACCCTTTTGAGATCAAGACAGAAAAAGCGAGCGTAGTCTGAGTGCTTTTATTATGTATGTACAAAACTATAACCACTTATAAAGACATTAGGTACCTAAAATTTTAAGATAAACATCAGTACCCCATCCGTAATAACTCTGTACCGTTAACAGACCCTTAGTTTTGGCTTCACCATCAGAAGTTTGTGAGGAAGTGTCATTGAATATTTCAACATAGTTCTTCAGTAGAGGTAAGCCATAACCAATACCTGCTATGGTATTACCACCTAATCCTGGTGGTACGTTTAGAGTCTTAAAACTCTCTCCTTCATTGGATTCATATGTAGAATACGAATAATCGAACATATGGTTTAAGGTGGCAGGTTTAATTCCTTTACCTTTGTCACGGATTCGTAATTCAAGATACGCAGGATCGTTTGAAATTGATATAGTTATTCTTATAGGCTCAAGTACATTATTTTCTATGTGTGCTCTAAAGGAGTTTTTAAACAATTCCATAAGAATGTAATCGAGATGAAATTCAATGTATGGGAAAATGAAGTTGTCAACGTTCGATTTTGGTTTCAATTCTGGAGCCTTACCACTCCAATAATTAGGTGGATATAAATTTGTATCAATTTCAATTTGAACAGTTTGGTCGTATTTCATCGAGCAAATGTCATTTACCAATTCGGCACTCTTTTTAATCACATTTGGTATATTTAATTCTTTGATAACTCCATTATACTTACTGCCTTTAACATAGCTCGACTTGTCTTTCAATGTGTTGGATAATTCTATATGCTGGTGGGCAATAAGTCTCATACAAATTCTCTCTTTCAAGTGTTCATCCAAGAATTGCTTTGTTTGTTCCACCCCCAAGAATCTAGAAACTTCATCAAATCCTTTCGAAAGACCAGGCAATGTATCAGCGTGAATATCAATAAACCCGTTAAGTACATCGTTACAAAACTTTTCATTCTCCTCTAATGTCGTTGGAAGATTCAATGATGCTGTTATCAAGGAATGCATGGTTTCTAAGTAAATATTATACGACTCTGAAATAGATGGATTCAAAACGACTAAATATGGTAAATTCCTAAACTCCCTAATTCTTCTTGCATTATATGTGAGCAACGACTCCACTGTATCTCTCGCATATTGTAATATAGATGATGATGATAAATCTTTAGATTGCTCACAGAGCCCATCTAAACTAATTGAAGTCAACGGAATTTGGGCATAATGATATATAAGACGTTCCAATGATGATCTTATCTTATAACTCTTCAAAAATGCTTCTTGTTGTTCTTGCATAGTCTTTTCTGTAGATGCTGATGTCAATGACGATCCTTTCGCTTCAGTAGATGTAAACCGATATGATCCAATTGTCCTATTTCTACGACTATTAAAGCATCTTGAGTTCAAAATACATCTTCTTCCTGTGCTTCTGAGTATGTGCTTATTATTTGCAAGCATAATTCAATGTACTAAGTAAATTATTATAAAAAGTCCAAAATTAGTTCATATTTGATAAGTCGATTTTTAATAATGTGACTCAAATAACAAATCGAGTATGATTGATTTTACAGCTAAACATAAATTCGAAATATGCCAGACATAGATACTTGTCCTATATGCATTTCGAGTCCATTGGAGGATTCTACAACCTTTAGTAACATAGCATGGCTTCAGTGTGATATTTGTAACCAATGGTTCCACGCTTCTTGTCTAAAGATACCTAAAATAGAGGTGAATAATTTGCATTCATATCATTGTGAAGAATGTTCTAAAACACATGGACCTTCGATACCTAGAAGGAAACTGAAAAGATCAAAAGTACAAATTGATTATGTTGCTCTAAATGATGGTGATGTTTTTGCCGTTGACAAATCACTGCATCCACATATAAATAAGTTTCTCTCTTTCGAAGTGAGTGCCAATGAAATTAGCAACAAAGTAAACCCATATATAGATCTTCGGAAAGATGCTACAGTTGAATATGCATTACAATCACACCTTTCAAAACCAGTTTTGATACCTCAAGCAGAACCTGATATAGTCGATATGAAGTTACCGATGGCTGGAAAAGATATAACAATTGACTATATAGCTGATGAAGTTGGAGATGATACACCCTTAGATGTAATGGATGTTCTAACTCAGCAGGGGGTTAATCCGGGATGGAACTTGGGAAAATGGAGAGATTATTTCAATACAGATGAATTAAGCCGTGATAGAATAAGGAACGTTATCTCGTTGGAAATTTCAGACGTCGATAATTTGGGCAAATCTTTTAGACGTCCCAAGATAGTGAGAGATATGGACCTAGTTGATAAGATCTGGAATGATAAATCACCCAGGCCTAAGGTTACCAAATATTGTCTTATGTCTGTTGCGGGCTCATTCACAGACTTCCACATAGACTTTAGTGGAACAGCAGTTTATTACACTGTATGCTCGGGTTCTAAAACATTTTTGATGTATCCTCCCACAGATAAAAACCTCGATATTTACACATCATGGTGTCTTCATCCCGACCAAAATTATATGTGGTTTGGTGATTTCGCAAGAACATACAAGGGTAAAAGCTGTACCCCTTCAGGAGGTTTCAAGGTAACCTTACGTCCTGGTGACTTGTTCTTAATCCCCAGCGGTTGGATTCACGCTGTTTACACTCCAGAGGATTCGCTAGTAATAGGAGGTAATTTTCTAACTCTTATGGACCTTCCTATGCATTTACGCATCTATCAGATCGAAAAAGTAACTAGAGTTCCTGCCAAATTTAGATTTCCAATGTTCAATAAAGTGCTATGGCTTACTAGCTGGTACTACTATAACCGCAAGTCACAATTTCTAAAAGACCTTGGGCAAGACGCACATATGAAAAATGAAACCCGGACTGTAAAAGACGAATTTCCAAACCTGCAATTCGTTACTGACCAATCCATACAATACAAAACTCTCAGTTCTCTTCTCACCCATTTACAATCGCACTACGAATCAAGCAAGGCTAATAAAGTGGCCAGGAATACCATTCCTACGGGTCTTATTGGCAAAAATATTCCTGCTTATTTAACAAGGTTACAATCCTGGTTAGATGGATTAGCCAGGTGAATCCTTCGTTTTCAAGCCTAATTTTTCGTTTGAAATAAAAAATATTGTGTTCAATGCCCTTGGATGTTCCCCAAATATTTCTGAGCTGCATTGGCAAAGTCATCTTTATCTAAGTACATAATATATATGGCTACTTTCGTCATCATCAACTTTCTTAGTAAATAATCTGCATACTGAATAATCTCTAAATATACGAATACCACCTATAGTATTTCAATCCTATCGTATAATAGCTTTGAATCTTATGGCTATACATATCGGGCCGTTATGACCGTTACCTTCGGACTAATTCTCCGTCAACCAAATTTTTGTGTCAAATTCCATGCAGTATATGAAAATCTCATTCACAATATTGGTATTTACAGTTATAGTAAGGAAGAATATATAGAATGCTGACCACATATTATGGCCAGAACTATCTATAGTAGTGATGAAAGTATCACTGATGCCAGTGCAATTGATCCTGTTGCATATGTTGAACCACAAAGTACCCGGAGTACACAGAATAATGAAATTAATACTATAAATGAGCCAGCCAATATATATGATGATAAGGACAAAAAACCCCCAATAGAATCTGAACCACCAAAGAAAAAGCAAGCATTATGGAAAAAACTTTTTAATATGGTACGACCGGGATATTTTCTTGACCATTTAGATTATGAATCGTTTAAGGTTGTCTTAAGGACATGGGTGCAGATTTGGGTAACGGTAGTATTGATGGTTATACCGAGAGTTGGGAATTGGATGGGAAATGCTTCGTATTTGATGCAAATTGTTGGGTTTATTATTGTTGCTGGGGGGACACTGATAGTCTTCAATGCCTCGTTTACTATCATTTGCTTTTTTTACGTAATGGTCTCATGGCTCTTTGCTACTATAGCCTTATTAATTAGCAATAGATTGAGAGGTTCGATAACACCTGAAGATTTGGCGAAATTGCTTATCCAGGATGGCTCGTGTACAGCAGAAAACATACTGACATGTATGATATCTCAGATATTTACAGGAAGATTCTTAACCACCAGATGCACGGTTGTATTTATAATCTGTTTGATGATTGGTTTGACCATGTATGGGATGTCCTTACGATTACACCCCTTGTTAAGACCCGGGTTCGTAGCTGGCATTATTTCTCTAATCATTCTCACAAACTACTATGTGTTTTTCCCGGTATTTATGCCTAAGGTGATCGGATATAGTATCATAAAACCTATGGGGGTAGCATTCGTAACAAAAATCGTAACTTCCATCTTGATTTTTCCCACCACTTCAAGCTTCTTATACTTCAACGGCTCTTCTAAAATCTTGAATGGTTTAAGTAAAGCAACCAAAAACAATATAAATTTCTTGAAGACTTTGAAGCCGTCAGGGCCTGATTTCATGCATTTTAAGAAGTATTCTGCAGCAATTACAGGCTTTAGGAATAATATTTCCCAGCTTGAAATTGTAGCAAGTTCAATAAAATACGAAGTTTCTTTCGGTAGACTTGATGCTGGTGATGCTGGTGAATTCAGGTACTTACTCAAGAACTTGATTAATTTATCTGCGGGTTATGAATTTTTTTATCAATTACTTAGTGAGAGGCTTGATATTGTATCAGATAATATTAGAGGATTGGGTCGCAGGGCAAGCACATCTTCTACATATAACCCTAAAAATACAACAGGTCATTCCAAGCTTTTCACAGCTTTGCAGCAATCGTATAAATCTGTTGGAGAGTATGAAAATAGTCGCCGTATTAAACTTTTAAGGAACAGAATTTACTCCACAGATGCCTCAGATTCTTTAACTTTACAGGATTTAGATAATGTGTCTCGTTTCATTACTACATATTTTACATCAATCCTAGAAGCAGTAGACTTTGGGATTGAAAATGTTACAAAATGGCTAACTGCAGCAAATAAATTCAGAACTTATACTATAATTATTCCTGGAAGCAAGGAAAAGCATAAACAAATGCAACAGGAATGCAGAAAAGGATTATTGGAGGCAAAAAGAAGATTGAAAAATGAATTAGAAAGATGGAGCGATCATAAACATATCGAAAATTTAATGCAAGGCACCACTAGAAATGAAGAAGCCTTGTTATGTCTTATTAGTCAAGCTTCTTTGTTTCTAAATTTAGCCAAAGACCAGTCCAAAGCTATAATGAGAATGATTGATTTATTTCTTTCTATTGACGAAAATAGACCAACCCCAAGTTTTATTACGCCATTTACCCATTCAGTTAGAGATTCAGCCCGTTATATTAACAGCTCAGTTGGGGCACCAGAAGAAAATAGGTCTAGTTTTTGGCAAGAAGAAGTTTCTGCCAGAGATGCTGATGCATTACCACCGTCACATTTGTATCATTTTCTTGGCATTAAGTGTGTTTCATTTTATGAAATACTATTAAACAAACATCTTTGGTTTTGGATAAGAGCAAGTGGACTCGTTACTGTTTGTTGTATTCCTTTCTATTGTAGAACTACTGCTGAGTGGTATTATAATAATAGATTGACATGGATTCCAGTTGTATGTTGTCTTACTGTTTCTGAATACGTTGGTGAAGCTATTTACGGTATTCTTTCTAGATTCTTCTATGGTTTTGCAGCAGGTGTAATTGGAATGGTTGCATGGTATATTTCTGCTGGTAGCGGTACTGGTAATTACTATGGTTATTGTGTTGTAACTGGGATTCTCTACTTCTATTTATGTTTTTTCAGACACTTCTCCATTCATCTAAATCCTGTTCCACAAGTCCTTTTATGTGTTACCGTTGCTTTAATCATGGGTACAAGTTGGATTGATGCTAATTACGCACAGTCGTCAGGTTATATTGGATATGGTTTTACTGCTGCTTGGAAGAGACATCTTAGTGTAACAATCGCTATATCTATTAGTTTCTTGGCCAGTTGTTTCCCAAGAGTATCTACTAGTAAAGTTGTAATCAGAAAGGTATTGGCCCAAGCCATAGAACAAATCGGAGTCATTCATTGTAATGTATCCAGATTTGGGTTGGGAAGATTACAGAACCCTAATATTCATATATTACGCAGGCACGATGCAACTCTAGAAAAATTCCGTACAGTATTATTAAAGCTTGCAAGTATCACAAGAATAATGGGTCCGCTTCAGTATGAGATACCTATATCAGGCAATTGGCCAGCATCAAAATATGCTAGATTACAATCATCAGTTACTGATGTTGTTCAATTGTATGTTATGCTTCTATCACTTTTTGACCAACTTGAGGAACCTGAATTCTGGGTACCTATCATCATGGGTAGAATGGGATGGACATGTGCTTCTATGAATGCAAATTTTTTTTCTATGGTTCATATGGGAGCTGGTTCATTGAAATCGAAAACTGCTTTACCTAAAATTACCCAGGCAAATCTTTCCATACAACATTTAGATTTACTAAGATCAAAATGGGGCCTTGAGAAAATTTCTTTAAGCGAACGGTTTTATAACCAAGAAAAGGATACTGAAAAGGAATATAGGGTTGATGAAGGTGAGAGTTTGCATGATTCAATGGTGAAAAATTTGGATTACGAAAAATTATTCAGTGCTGATGGTCAGTGTAATATTGTTGCATTATTATTAGCACATATGATCTATAGACGTCTTGATGAAACAATAATTATTATCAAGTCCTTAGTAGGAGAGAAATTTGATTTCGATTATTCTATATTCGAAGATGAATACGAAAATGAATATTGGAACTATGAGTAAATAGATAAGTTTCATATTTTTAAGTACTTTTTACAATGTATTAATTATTTACCTATTTTAGATTCCCTATTTAATTACTTTTTATATTTGATCAAATCGAGCAATTATAAAGATAATGTGTTACCTTTTTCTCTGACGGCTTCACCGTATTTCTTAATTCTGATGGATTGAACAGCAATGAATCCTGAAGTATCTTCTGGAGAAAAGCCAGTTAATTCATCCATAGATGATTCAGTCTCATCGTATAATTTTTCAGTGTCAGAGGATCTACCTAAGATAGACAAGGATCCCTTGTAAGCTCTAGCTCTGACAACACCATTAACGGTCTTTTGGGATGGTTCAATCATAGCTCTAACGTATTCACATTCTGGAGTGAAATACATACCGTTGTACAATAATTTGGAGTAAGTGGTGGTAACAAATTGATCTCTAATAGCACGGACTTCACGATCAAGAGTTAAACCTTCCAAATCAATATGTGCAGATCTTAAAATAGTTAAACCAGGAGTTTCATAACAGCCTCTAGACTTGATACCAATAAATCTGTTTTCAACGATATCAATTCTACCGACACCATTTCTTCTGGCTAAAGCATTAGCTTCAGTAAATAATTCAACTGGTTCAGTAATGACTTTCTTACCACCGTCCAAAATCAACTTCTTTGGTATACCCTTTTCAAAGTAAACAGAAAAGTCTTCTGGAGTATCTGGAGCATCAAGTGGATCGACGGTCAATTTCCACATATCCTTAGGTGGAGTAGTATCTGGGTCTTCTAAAATACCAGCTTCGAAGGAAATATGAGCCAAGTTTTCGTCAGTTGACCATGGCTTAGCCTTGGTTTGAGCAACTGGGATATTCTTAGAAGCAGCATATTCCAATAAATCCTTTCTACCAGCAAATCTGTTGAAAAATTCTGGGTCTCTCCATGGGGCAATGACAGTAACGTCTGGCTTCAATGCATAGAAGGCCAATTCAAATCTAACTTGGTCATTACCTTTACCAGTACAACCATGAGAAACAGCAAAACATCCGTTCTCTTCAGCAACCTTGATGTGAGCTTGCGCAATAACTGGTCTAGCTAACGAAGTACCTAATAAGTAGACATTTTCGTAAATAGCGTTAGTTTGAATAGCTGGGAAACAAACTTGTTCGACAAATTCCTTTCTGACATCAACAACAACAAACTTGGTAGCACCAATTGCTAAAGCCTTTCTTTCTGCTTCTTCGAAGTCTTCTTCTTGACCGATGTTAGCCAAATAAGCAATAACTTCGTACCCTTGTTCCAATAACCAAGCCAAAATGACCGAGGTATCTAAACCACCGGAGTATGCCAAACAAACCTTACCTTTAGACATTCTTATAATAATATATAACTGATTAACGTAAAATAACACTAATTTTATATTCCAAGAAGAAAAAAAGTATTATATGAAAATTTTATTAGGAATTGTCCAACCCTTTATACTTGTCGATAAGCGCGCCTAATGGGCATTTCAATTGCCTAATTGGGATGAGTCATAATTGAAGATTTTCATCCAATTATTTAGCTTTGAACTATTACTCATTATACATTAGCTAAATGTTAGTATTAATTATCAAATGAAGGTTACTTTCAAGTGAAGCGGGCTTGGTAGAATGGAAATTTCGCATAGGAAATTGCGCCAATTTTTATCAGTTTTGATTCACCGCATTAATTTTTCACTTAATTCCAAAGCAACTGGTTAATTCATGTATTGCATATGTCAACAAGCAAACAGCTGAAGAATGTGTTTACATTTGTGGAAATTATCGAAATGATTTTGGTGTCATGAGATCCACAATTATCAATCTGAATTCTTTATATTTGGTCGCACCGAAGCGGTTAACCGGTTTTGAATTATTTTAAACAATAAGTTCAACCCCAAGATGAAACCTGCAATAGTTATTGGCATATTCTTGCATACCCAAAAAGTATTGCTGATGATGGACGGGTCAGTTTCGCAAGACTTATTTGTTAGCATTGGTCCATTATGTGTATGATTACCGCTGTCATCCCAATTACTCTATCAATACTGACAATTCCCAGGAAGATTCAGAGTACATAGAATGCCATATTCTTGCAAAGAAAAAATATACAGAATGCATAGATAGTCACTGTCAATGTTACTACATTCACGTAATCAGCAGAGAATGTATTAAACTATGCACCACATACGTATGTCCTTCTGTTAGAAGTAAATGAGCGCTACTAACACCTTCAGCACCACGAAACCTTATATAGGTTGAATACATTATGTACTGGCTATTATAATTTCAATATTTAGATTTCATTAGATTTCAGTTCTGCAATTTGCGTCGTCTATATCCAGTATCACTCTCTCAAACCTCAAGAAAAAAGAGAACTTTAGGATGGATCTTTAGGATGCCTAACTCTTGTGTATACCAATATAGTCTATATATTGACTCAATACTTACATATAGTATATTATGATAATCAATTTAGTTGTCCACCGTAGGCTTACAAGGCTCTATAACAGTTGGAGTTCTTCATTTCCAGCTAAAGAATGATTTATCCTGGTCTCATTTACACCCCTCTCTAATACAAAACATGGCAGTCCAACAGACCTTCATTTAGCCAAAATTGCTCTTAGCAGAACATAATAGACAGGTATTATTAGCTAGACCTTTGAAAGTAGTGTCTATTCTAAGACTTTGTGACTATGGATCTTAGTCATTGTACGCGAATACTGTTGACTCACAGTCAGCATTGACTCAATCCAATACTATTTGAGTCATTAATATACATAATAAATACGTCTGAAAGTACAACAACAACAACTTCGTCTTCAATACATCCGCAACTACAGATTAAGACGAAGTCAACATTGAACGTTCAGAACATATAAACGGCACATTCACGTCAACGATCTATATACCGCGCTCCTTAACCAATTAGTCTCGAGAAAATAAATTTGAATCATCGGTCATCAACAGTTGAATCATAGTCATTTTGATTAATAAAAGTTCCATTTGTGATATGTTACAAGATGTCCAACGAAAGTCAGACAAAACGAATAGGAGTTACACATGCTATTAGAGCTAGGCTAAATTTTTTGGATGAAAGATTATGGAAACGATTTTCAGCTCGAAGACTAGAGCTTATAGATACCTTGGATTTGAGTTCCAAAAAAGCATCCGAACAAGAAGAACAGATCAAGAATGTCGCAGATGCCTTAAGAGTTGAGTTCAACTACTCACCGGAATATTTCCGTGATTTCGATAAGTTGGTGAGGGCTGCAGTACAAAGTGTAAGAAGAAATAGGAAAAGATCTTCCAAAACTAAACAACTGAATGAAACAGAATATCGAGAAAAAAGACGTAGGCTGGATGAAGAATTTCCACATTCTTTTTCCCGGTCTATTTCGCCTGATATGCATACTATAGGGAATTCGCCGAATGAACATTATCTTCAACGGGATAATTCGGACACTACACCAGATACCGGCTCTCAGAACCAAAAGTTTTTATCAGAAATTGCACGGCTCAACTCTGATTCCCAAGAAGATGTACATGACATGAACTACTCTAGGAGCAAGAAGTTTACGATTTTCGATAAATCTCGGCTGGCTATTGGTACCATGATACAACCACGGATAAACACTAGTCCTCCTGTTTTACCACCTATATCTAATTTGAGTTTCAAGGCCAGTGCTGAGAATCCTATTGATAATTCAGCCAGAAGAATACTCCTACATTATATTGAGAAGTCAAAGACATGTTCGGAGTCTACCTCCAAGCGGAATGAAAATCTCGAAATCTTAGGTAAGAATATTATATCTTGCTGTGTGGTTTACGTCCTAGAAAAATCATTCTCGAACGCTAACCAAACCCTGGTGGAGTATTTAAGGTCAAAGTTGAATCAAGAATCATATCTTTCCAAATTTTACAAAGAATTAGATACTTCAACGACTACTAATTACCTCCTTTCCGATGACATTGCATCTTTGTCGTTATATACGTTATTAGGTTCATGTGTCAAAGACTTTGGTTTCGATAATATTTTGCTCCCACTAAGTGAGTGTCTATATTATAGTATATTACAAGATTATCCATTAATATCGCAACATTCTACAGTCTTCAAGGGAGAGGAGCATAAATCAAGCAAAACATGCATACCCATGTATCCAGATTCTCTAAACCAGTTGAACTCATTGGCAGCAGTTGCGACGGAAATGAACAAGCATGATGTAAGTAATGCCACGAAAGCTGTTACCTTGAAGTTCTTATCATCCATTCTTGAATTTACGTATCCCACTGCTAATTCAGCACCTCCAAAGCTATTAGAATTGATAGAGAACGCCAAGAGTGCATTCAAATTGTCTGCCAGCAGCAATCAGACGACAATTAACCTCCTAAACATCAAAGATGGAACTAGAATAAATTCGGATGCTGATCTCGAAACCTTGTTTAGGACTCAGGAAAAGGTAGAATTAGAACTTGTCACTCAGGCAGCACAAACAATCCCCATTTATGAAATAACATCGACCATTAGGCCCAATAAATACCTGGATGCAAAAATTATTCTTCCCCCTCCCTACAAGAATAGATCTATAATATCAGACCCATTGAATACCATATCTAAGATTGATAATGCCAATTTTAAAGATCACACACCACCACCTCCTCCTCCTCCTCCTCCTCCTCCTCGTCCCAGATTCCAGCCATTATTATAATTACTTGCATTTAACCTCATCCATATCTCATATATGTAGTCATGGAACTAATAGAACTACTACAACTCTCAAACATTAGCACGTATATCTATCGCACATATACATAATATACATAATTATATCAGAATCGGCTGAAACTATCGCGGTCATCGCACCGCTGCCCTAATTAAAATAGCCTGGGCCCAACAACCTATATCAATCCTTCAAGGATATCACTCAACTCCAATGCCATCCTCTCCTTCACACAAACGAAACCAAATCCCGGTAGTGGATCTTATTCTGATATTCGTATTCTTCAAAATTACCCGATGCAATTCTCTTCATTCTCCTCTTAATATATTTATATTTGAGTGAGCGAAACATAATTGCTTTAATTATACTTTTATTATCTCAATTCAATTGGGTGCCAATTCTCACTGTATCAATTGTGTAGCCCGAATTCCTTTAAAAAATTATGCCGCTACAATAATATCACCTCGTTACTTGTTTATATCTTAAATTTGTCTATATTAGTACGGTCCCTGTAAAACAAATGTACTATATCTGAACTGGTTAATCTCAATAATTGTTTGCAAAATAATATGCTAAATATAAAACAAATCTATATGTCGTATTCACGTCTTGATAGCAAAAAAACCAGAGAATATCATCCTATATAAATATTATTGAACGTTTACAACCACGAGAGATATAATTCCGTCTACACGCCACGGCTGACTATCTCGCCAGTATTATCTAAGCTTTTATCGGTTAATTTTGGGTGCCAAACGTAAAATAATTTAGGTCCGATCCTCGTGGCTGCATCACTATAATAGTGCGAACCCAAAAATTGTCTTGCTTCGTAATTAAACAATCCAGCAAAATACGACAGTATTAAAACAAATAATAATTCAATTGCAAGGTAGAATAGTCTTTTCGTTGCTAAATGGGTACATAGATATTGTTAATAGTGCCCATTTGTAGTCATTACAAGTTTCTAGGAGTCATATGGTTACTACAGTCACTACACTTTTGGTGGATTGTCCAAGTAACCTAAATAATTTTTGGGCTCTGGAGTTAGGAGTACGGGGTATTAGGCGGGTTATATTAGGTTTAACTTTGCTTCATAAATTCACTTAGCACTCAATTGTACCTAAATATTCTCCAATTGAGCTATGAATGGGACATATAAGGACAAAGGTATATTGCGAAGGAGTAAAACATATGGTGTGATATTATCTATTCAAAACACTCGTACGTAACACCAGGTAGTAACGAAATCCTCTAAGCGTCAGATTTGTTCCTTAGTCACGATTGCATCCGCCTTTGGAATAAATCGGGTTGTTTATGGTCACGTGAATGTATATACCCGAGTTAGTTTTTGGGCCATCCAAATGATTCTTCATTTAATGGGCCGAAGGGCTGTCGGACCGCATATCCGGGGCCTTCAGACGCTATGCCGAGAGTAGGGGCTCAACGTTGCACCACCGTTGCGGTCTACGATGTTTAATTCTGATTTCGCCAGTAGTTTAACTGCGATCTTGAACTAGATCGATTCAGATCTGGTTCTATCGCTGTTTTACTTCTGATAGCGATTTTGGAATTGGTTCGCCTTCGTCATTAGATTTTTCAATTCGTTTAGAAACAGCAGTTGATCTTAATAACTGCAGATTTAATATCTCGTGCACTTTTAAAAAAACAGATAATACATCCTCGGACGATGATCTGCAACCACTGTGTGTGATTGTTCTATCCGGTATTCACAGACCACGATGCCAGCGATAAATTAACGGTGCTTGGTAGACGTTGCAAAACGTGGTTCCAACGGTTTCGTTCTTGCTGGTCAGCTATTGATTGTCCTGTATATAGTGATATGCTTAACGATAACATAGGTATCGATTTTCTCTATCTGTGCAGAATTATGAAAGAGCTTCTAATATACCGTCAGAGAAGTATATACGATCACTATAAATTTTAGGTAAGTGCCCTCAAATGACGTTGAAATTAGCTAAAGTCCCTGTTTTACAAACGTTTAATTACACAACCCCTAAGGAATCACTCCGTGGCCACAATGATTTCCCCGGGTCCAGCCGTATTTGCAGCTAATCTGCTCTTCATTTGATTTATTATCAATATCTATTACTAGGGATTGGTATTATCCCCTATGCTATAGTAGAGAATTGTCTCACTGGTGAAGGTTCCGTATGGACCCACCGATATCATATTGATAAGCATGATATGGGAAATAAAATCCATGGAACCATGAAGGATCTAAGCTAGATTACATTCATCTGCCAAATCTGGCTACATCGTTGGCCCCCCTCTTGATTCGAATTCTTGAATTCTATTTCTCTTTGATCTTCTAGTATCTTCAGCTTCTGAAGCATCTCTTTCAAAACCCTGATTTCTTGTTTTTGGTTTTCGATTAGACTCCTGGAAACAGTAATTTTCAAACTATATTCTCGCGTCTGAGCATTTAATTTTTAAATCTTGACGTTTCTTGCATGGTTATGTTTGGAATTCTCTTCTATACTTAATCGTTTTTGTTAAAAATGTCGATATGCCGTGATGTTTTTAGTTACTTTAAGCATTTTTGTTTGCTTGAAAACAGATCTTCTACGTGAATAGAAAACTCTCTCCTGATTTACACAAAAACTGACGATAAACTTGATTAATGCACCTTCTTCACATAACAGAATATTAGAAGGTATTTCCACATATATTCAACTTGCTTATTAGAACTCTTTCTCATTCAAATAACTTATTTGTTCCACGATCTGATGGTAATTCCGACCTATACTTTATTATTAGCATGAACGAGATCATTTCATGCCCATTGCACAAATTTCAATAAACCAATATGTCTAAATATCAATTCAATCATAATAAAACTGTGAGCTAATTATAAGCTGCCTATAAAGCTATAGAATTTAGTCTTTTGTCAAGACTAAGAAAAGTACACAAAATAACACGGAATCGAAACAAATGAAGAAAGAAGCCGTGTTGTATCTAAATATTAACTATTAAGGGATGTAAAATCCTTCTTCAAGTAGCATGTGGTAAGGACAATGTACAACTAGAATCAAAAGTATGCATACATTATAATATAAAATCGAATTTGCAAAGGTATAATTTCTAAGATGCAATCGATCGGCTGAAAAATATTAGGGACGTAGTCGCATTTAAGGACCAGAAATATTAAAAAACGACTATAAAAGTAATAGGTCATATTCGGCTCGAAAGGCAGAATTAAACCAACATGGACATCAACATAGTCATAATTAATGCTGATAAAGAAATATGTTTAGTTAAATAACCAGCACCGGTCATTGGTTCGACAGTTGGAACTGAACTTTGAAATGGTGAGGATAATGAAGTTGTGAATCCAGAAGTTGATGTTGACCATGGTTTAGGTCCTGGCGCGGACATGGATGGGTTGGAAGTGCTTTCGGTAGATCCATATGGGGTCCCATTTGTTTGAAGGGGTAAGGTGTTAGAACCGCTATTAGTATCGTTATTAGATCCACTATCTGATCCATCTGATCCAGTGTTAGATCCGGTGTTAGATCCGGTGTTAGATCCAGTGTTAGATCCAGTGTTAGATCCAGTGTTAGATCCACTATCTGATCCATCTGATCCAGTGTTAGATCCAGTGTTAGATCCGGTGTTAGATCCAGTGTTAGATCCAGTGTTAGATCCACTATCTGATCCATCTGGTCCAGTTTTAGATCCGGTGTTAGATCCATTATCTGATTCAGAAGATTCATTACTGGAATTAGTATTAGTGACTTCAGTAGATACGGTATCCGTCTTTACACCTGTTCCACTAGGTTTAGTCAGAATCGAGATAGTTTCCGTAATAATAAACTGTTCCGTGTTGGTAGATGTTGGCAGTATTTGATCTTCACTTGTTTGAGAAACGTACCCGTTTGAAAGCGTCAGTAGTAAGGTATGCCCTGTTGGAGCTATAGTCGTAATCTGGTTATTCGCAGATGTTACGGATGTCTCTGGATTAGAATTTGAAGTACCCACTGTATTTTGTTTCGAAGATGGTGTATTTATGAAACTCGACCCTTCACCGTTCTCACTTGAAGAAGTTGCAGTTGTGATACCGCTAAGTATGCTCTTTGTAACAGATATTAAAGATTCAGATGATTCTATAACAGGTATAGATTGACTAGCACTATCACTTGTAGCTGTCGTCTCTATTGATTGAGAACTTTGAGACACAGTATTCACTGAAGATGAAAAGTTAATATAGTCACTTGATATGTAGCTATTAAAGTTTGAGGATGTGGAGGAAGATGCTGGATTCATTGTGGACAGCTGTAAGTATGATGAATTCCCGTAGTAAGGACGTGAGGATGCACTAATTACAACGGGAATTGAGGACGACATTGATACCTCAATTGAATCACTAGGTCTAACCGAAATTGATTCCATACTAGAAAGTGGCGTATTAGATATGGCTGATGATGCTTTCCCACTGGAAAGACTTGAATCCAGTGTACTAGATGGCGTCGCTGAACCACTACTTATAGTTGACGAGACAGGAGATGATGAAATTAGTACGCTTGAATTCAATGCATTGGATGGTACCACTGACCCACTAGTTATATTTGGCAAGATACTAGATGATGTAATTGGTACGCTCGAATGTGTCAAAGATACAGAAGTTGAAGAATTTAATGTTGCAGGAACATCTACTTCAACAGTAGCTGTTTCACCAGCTGGAGCTGTGTGGGTTATGGTTGTGGTATCAACACCAGTCCATGTTCTTGTTGTGGTGAC